TTCACTGTGTCGTGTAGTAACCGGTGTTCTCGTTGTAAGTACTGGTTCACTACGTAAACTTTTTAGGCGCTTTGTTCATTGCATTGTTATCAACACGAAGTCAAAAAGAAGGCACAAATATTTTCGGAGAGCCAATTCCACCTGCCGGTAGCAATCTGTTTGGAAAACGAAACACGAATAAGCCTTCCGATTCTCAAAAAGAAATCCAACGGCGAAATTACTCACACGTCACACTGGGCAAGTGCACCTAGGTGAGAAACTATATGTAGTCTTGTGGCTTTTTGTCCATGCAGTAATATATATATATATATATATATATATATATATATATATGCAGTGCGGTCGTTGGCGAAATCTACCAACCAAGTAGTGTTTGATAATCTTTTCAAAGTTCTGTTGTATGCCACTACTTACATCACTAAGGCAAAATTCTTTCCCGATCTCTCAGATCAACCAAAGTTTAGAACATTATTACGAAGTGATTCACTAGATTGCGTCATTTGGAGGTCCTTTACTAATCATTCAGTAAACATGGGCACTCCGCAAGAAAATCTTCGTTCACCTGACAATTTCTGCGGGTGTTGGGTCCTTAGACGGACACTTGGAATGATATTGCATGAGAATTTTACGAGTTCAGCTGGAATTTACAGAACTGCATTGTCGTATTCGTCCCAAACTAATCTAATGGGTCCACTGCAGTTACGTATTAGGGATAGAACTCGCCAGCTAAACTCTAATGACCCTTGAACGCCACTCTGCCTGTTGTTGATTGCGTGAGACTTATCAATTCTTACTATAATTAACAAGACTAATCAAAAATGCGTCAACGACTAATAGCTCTGACGGTGACGAATGCACTTTTTAAGTTGACCTGAGGAATTCTCAGTATATTGTGCGACAGTTATAGCACCAACCATGTTTCCTTAATATTTCTCCAATCCCATTGGGGGGAATTCGAAAATGTGATAAATTCCATCAGGTAGTAAACTCAGAATTTACCGGAGTGTAAGTTTTATCGACTGGTTTAAAAAATGATGAATGGGGGCGACAAAGCTATGGTACCACTCCTCGCCTGCAGAGATGTCAATGAAATCTTCCATCTTTTTCACCCCCATGCTCTTGTAAATCACTTCACCACTGGAGGAATGTGTGGATAATGTTTTAACTGACCATCCATCCTTCTTTCAAGGCAGATATCTGTACATTCTCTATGTTGATATGGCCTATAGAATTTAATTCGGTGACTGTCAATTTTTCATGTTGGCCGGTCCAACACCCTTATGAGAAAAAAGAATCCAGTCCTGGTAGATATGGATAGTTAAACTCTTGTCACATCTGAAATCCCGCTTTCCCTCTATTCATTAGTGGTAATGCATTGCTCGATGTCTAGGTTTCAGAAGCTGGTCAGTTTTCCTAGTTAGAGAGATGATATGATACTCTACACCGTAACTATCCACATTTGTGCAGGTATAATTGCTATAATGGTTCCATGTCTCGTCTATCGATATGGAATTTTTCTGACCACTGTCCATTGTGTAGCTCCCCTATGGATAGAGAGTAGTGCTACCTTAGTTCTGATGCACTAGCACTTAGATTGCAAGCCTAATCAGATTAGGTAATAAACAAATCACCATTGATGACCAGTGACAAAGGCTCAATTGCATACTCGTTCTCCATAGTGCATAGTGGGGTTGAGATATCTGAACGGGGAGCAGCGGCAGTTGACTTCTCTCACACTGTTCACAACTGACTTCTGTTCAGTTTCGTGAAGGCGATGAACGGTTCACCTTTAGTCCCCCCGACTGAAATACCGCACAGCATATCTGCATAGCGAGAGTACAAAACTACGAAAGCCTGTGCCACTACAACTGAGTTCCAGGCCTTCCTGAACATGGCTACAGCGACGGTAACCTATTCTCCCCCTGCTTACAGAGCTTATAGAAAGAATGGGCGGCGTGGTTGTGGGACGATTCTCTTGGTAGCAAATCATTACACACAGTGGTTACGATTTACGTTGGTCGATCCTAATATATACCCGGTATGCCTTGAACTTCATATTCAAGTCATATCTATGGCAGTAGTTCACATATGCCGTGGACTAAACTAACCTTCAAAGAAAGACGATAAACTAGTTGCCAAGCTCAAATGTATTAGTCAGAATTTAGATAAAATAGTTATCTTAGGGTATTCTAATGCTCCGGAAATAGATTAGATGGTACAAGGCTCTCCAAATAGATCACCGAGTGATGTTCCCGTAAAATCACGACATGACTGAACCCTCGTGTACGTAGGCGGAATCATTTAGGTTAGTTAATATTGTTTGCATTACCACAGGGTCAGATCCAAGAAGATCTATGTCGTCTGCATACTCGATATCTGTGAGCGGACGCCCAGGAAGCACTTCGACCCCACACGCATGGGAGTCTGATAGTGAGTCTTCCACGATCGTATCAATGACGAAGTTGAAGAGGAAAGGTGAAAGAGGACAGTTCTATCTGACACCACTTAATGTGGTGAACTCAGGAGAAAGCCTCCCGTAGACATTCACACCGCCGCGGGAGAAGCTCCACAGCAGCTTAAGAAGGGGGACACCTTTGCTCCACAGACAATATCAGTACCTGGCGGTCCACAGAATCAAGGGCGGCATTCAGATTGACAAACACAACTATTGTTGGTTGCTGGAAGCAGTGTCGCTGTTCCAGAATCTATCAGAGGGTGCAGATATGATCGATGCATCCTCCTGCAGGACGGAACTCAGCTTAGCTTTCACGGATCTCTCTCCTTGTGTTCAGTCAACCCTCGAAGGATAAGACCAGAGAGCACCTTCGATTCCACAGTTGACAGGCTGATGCCACGGTGGTTTTCACACAGTGTCCGTACGCCCTCTTTGAAGATAGGGATAACTGTCAACATGACCCATTCTGCAGGCACTTTCTCTTCGTCCCGTATAGTACCAATAAGCTTCGTCAGATGGGTCACCAGGAATTCTCCGCCATCTTTGAAGAGGGCTGGATACAGGCCGTCCGATCCTGGTGCCTTGTCACGTTTCAGTACGGATGTTTCATACTTCATTTATTCTTTCAACGGGTTATCAATGTTTACATTCCATCCGCCCGTATGCATCATCTCCAAGGGCTGTGTCGCAGAGGGCCAGCTTAACTGTTCTTCGAAGTGTTCGGCGTATCTTCCCAGTCGGCGTTTTTGCGAGGGAATTTATGAACCACGTTTTTCATTTATCGTTTCGCTGACAGTTGATTTCCTAAAGCCAGTCGGTCGTATCAGCTGATATAAGGGAGGAACAGTTCATGATCAGCACAAAACTGAAGGAGTCGACCTCCGCTGTCTTTGCGGCGAGCACCGACTCCAAATCTACCGCCCATATGTGATTCCAAAGAGCTCACACGACCTATTTGAGCATTCAAATCGCCTTTTTGCTTAACGAATGAGCCCAGATAGCTCTCGATAGAACTTATTCTTCTCGGCATCGTAACTGCAGTCTGCAGGGGTATCTGTCGACACTACAAACGGGCATCGCTTTTTATGCCGAGGGGCATTGAGTTTGATTGAACTGGATAACAGGACGGCGAAAAACGACTGTTTACTGGGATCCAATCCAGCAAAGCGTGCACAGCTCTGGGCCTGAGTGCAACTCCCACGCCATATACTCCACGACTCATTGCTTTTGCGTCACCGGACACAAGGAGAGAAATGTGAAAGAGCTAAGTTCATTCTTGGCGTTCTGAGATGCGAAACCACGCTTGGGTCTTGTATGCGTGTTTCGGAGACACGGCATACATGAATTTTAAGAAAGTTTACGGATTCAGCAAGCATTGCCTGTTTGCCAATCTGACCTAGAGTACGGACGTTAAAAGCTCCTATATAGAAAGGATCTCGTGGATTTAGAAAGGTGTTATTTTGTTTAATGTTTGTAGGCAGCGAGGAGCCTAAGGCCCTTCGGTCAGGTGACTGACAGTCAAATGGCCCAGCGACGTTTGCTTGTGCGGTGGGAAGGGGTTGGGGAGGGACATTGGTGGACGCTGAACTGCGCGGGCAAATGATACTTCCCACCTTGAGCCTTTGACTCAAAAGTCTGACCCACAAGACAGTGGGAGGACGTAGTGTTTTGTTCGAGGACCCTGACCCTAGCCTGACTCAAAAGTCTGACACACGAGGCAGTGGGAGAGTGTGTGGGTTTTCTTTGGGGACCCTGCCCGGAGCCGACGACTCAATAGTCTGACCTGCTCGGCGCAGGGAATGAGGCATTACTGTCTCATTCCTGATGTGGCCAGCAGGTGCCTTTGGAGCAACACCAGACTCTTTGGTTTTAAAAATATTTCGACTGTATTAGATAATGTGACGGCGATCACGGTCAACCGTTGGGCAATCGGAGTGTGCGGTTTTTGGTGCCAGCCTGTTCTAACCCGTCCTTTCTCGGGGGAAGGTAGCGTCGCTGCTTCCATAAATATGGACATGCTGGTCGAAGGGGGGACTTCACAATTCTGTCGCACAGGACAGTACAAATTTACACCCATACCGCCTCGTAGCACGATTACCCGTAGTACGGGGTCTCACTGATCTCCTTTAGCCTTCCTGGCATGGTCGTTGTGTGTGGGACCAGGTTCCAGACAGTGTAGCCCACGGGATCATTGCACCACTCAAGCCCGAACACCACGTCAGGGTGGCAGCCTTAGGTCGGGGTTCCAGGTGAGTCTCCTGCATAAGCAAACTGGTTTGCAAGTGAGTTCATTTCGCTAACTTCGTGCAATTTGGGTATAAGCAGAACATAAGGTTGACGGAAACTCAAGGACTACGCCTACCCAGGAACGGTGAAGCCAAAAATTTTCAGCAACTCATGAGTAGTGCATTATGCCTATAGAGGTAACACATCATTTGGAACCTTTCGCATCAATCACTAACAGCTGAAAGGTGTGCGTGATTGGGGACAGGTTGAGAACTACTGGTCAATCGTATTGTTTGAGGGGCGCGTAATTGAAGCTTGTGGTGCTCCTTTTCTCAACCGGTGCATACAAATTAGGAATGAAAAGAAAACAGCTGGTTAGCAAGAGTTCAGAGCTATAGAAATCCTGCACGGTCCAAGAATAACACCAAAAGACATGCACGCAAAGCGCAGATTTCCACCACCCTAAATCCTAAATGCACTGCATGTGACTAGTGGCAATTTATAAGACTAGAGACTAAATGTTGCCTTGAGGGATTCAACTGCGAATTAAACCATAATGGACGAAACAATCGAAAAATGGATCGATCTCTTGGAATAACACTCGGCCATAAAACTTTATTAACTTCAGAGTGAGATAATGTTCAGAAAGCATGGCCAGAAAGTAGGACAAATGGAAATGCAGAGATCAAATCCCCATCTTGCTGAAGCTGATTCGCAAATGTGAATTTTCCGTCAGTTGACAGTTGTGTAGGGCCTAGAGGAAAAACAGAAACGAATACATATAGTACATTTGAATCGGGAAGAGTCAAAAGTTTAGGACCGGTAACAAATACTACACCTATTCATGACTGGTGAAGGTGTGAAAAGGTAATAATGATACCATTCTGCGTTCCGGGAAATCGCCCTGATACGTGGTCAGGCTCCGTGCAGAAGATTCATGAAATTGGTGGAGAGAACCGTAAGCCCTACTTCTTGTTTGACCATTTTGTGTGCTCGGGCTTAAATTTGCAGGGTGCTCACGAAGTATCCCGACATTATCTCAGAAGTGTTGCAAAATAATGTGGTTATTGCTAACAAATATTTCGTCTCTGAAGTGAGAGTTTTGATAACTGAATATGATTACAAGACTGTCTTCAGCTATACAGAAGATCAATCAGCAAGGTCCCTTTCCGTTATCAAGTTAGATCAGCGCTGAGTGTCAAACATGAATTTTAGTGACTTGGGTTTTTGCCAACAACATTGCCACTGTCGACAACACCAGTGAAAACGGTGGCGCTTAGCTGTCGTACCACTGAGTTAATTTATTCACCTAAGGTTTAATACAAGTGCTCGCAAACATCCCAGATATCTGAAGCTTCAAGCAGCTACTCAGGTAGTTTGGGTAAAAACTAACAGAACGAACAAAACTGGGATTAGTTAACGATCATGTCTTGCAAAGACTCGAGTCCAGCGCACATAAGTTCACGAAAGCCCAACCCTAGATGAATCACATTGACTGTATCTAAACGATTCGTTCCAAGAGCTTCATCAGCGACAGGTAGTTCCCAGCTTCTTACCTCGAGTCCAGCGCACATAAGTTCACGAAAACCCAATCCTAGGTGAATCACATTGACTGTACCTAAACGATTCGTTCCAAGAGCTTCACCAGCGACACGTAGTTCCCAGCTTCTTATGTTGTGAGTGAATAAGGAATATGTCGGTAGATGAAGATGCTCGTTCACACACGGGAATATTTTTACTTCGTGCAAAACGCTCGAGAAGTTGGCCACTCCAAATGAATCCCAAGCCAACTAAACAATTTGTTGCCCCACTGTTTTAATTTAACCATAGTGGTTTTTCGGTCGCCCGATGCCTTTCGACCCACCGGATAGCCATTTTCAATTGGCGTTCTCCTGCTCATTGGTTGTCACATAACTCTGGCTAAAGTATCCGTATTGTCCCATTTCTGTCTCATCTTTGTCACAGGTTATGAGAAAAACTGTCGCAGCCCGACCAAAGATTCCTGATCATCAAGTCTTGACCTGGTCAGTGGTTGGCTCCAAACCATTTCTAACGAGGTTAAATTAGTGCTGGTTCATCAACTTAGTCTAATTGATCTTAAAGCTTCTCCGGGTTAGCGTTGTTTTCACAAGCCTCGGTTTCAAACCTTTTATAGCTTTCCTAACTCGTTTTCTTCATTTTTACTTCGTTCCCTTCCCTGCATTTTCCGACAACACACTACTTATAAGGTTGCTGAAAACTTTGACAGCCACTGTTGGCTTCATCCTTCCTTGGGTTCACTAGGTAGGTGCAGTGGTGTTGTTACCTAAAAAAAATCACCCTTCCATTTCTCACCATATTAACGTTTAAACTTTATGCTGTTTGAAGCTAACGTACGCCTTTTGCATGCCGTGCTGTCCCAGCCATTCAGTATTCCCGCTGGACGGCGTATATGGACTTTGGAATCACCATGACAATCTGCTATTTGCAAAATAAAATATTTGTTATGCCCATGAATGTGTGGCGGAATTATCTTACAACGAAAAACACCATCAAATTTGATCGAGGATCAGCAGTCCGTTTGTTGTGGTGATGTTCAATCGAGTTCACTTGGACATATGTCGAAACGATGGCGTTGTGCAAGTGGTGTCCAGTCCACATATACGTAGTGAATAAAAGCGATGATATCCATGAGGTGCCTGGCAGTGGCCACGAACCACGCCTGACAGGAGTGCATGAGATGAGTCGTGAAGTTGGGACGAAAGTTACATACATTCTATGTGGTTGTAGCGTTACAAACTGTTTGAGGCATGTCAGTCCCAAACGAATAAAATCATCCAGGAACATCATAAAGGAAGCACCATGAAACTTTGAACTCACGATTAATGCTTGAATAGCGAGGTCAACGCTACTCAACTGAACAAGAGCCATCCGTTTGTCTTTCCTGAAATAAAATCAAGGTTAGTCAACGGGAAACGTTTCACATACATCATGAATTTGAATCCGGAAACTTCGTATCCCTTGGACTCAAACAAGACACGGATCTCCTCTTCTGTTATGTTTGGTGGGATGTTGCTCAGGTGCAGCACATTACTTGGAGCGTAGATATTTTGGAAGTTTTTGGAGTGAGGTTTCCGGAACCGGTGCAACGGACTGTTGGCGTAGTCTTTGGTCAGACCAACATCTGTATCTTCCTTAGGCATTTGAACGACATTGAACCTGGAAACAGCTATCTTGAGCGGTTTGCCCCACAGTGGCTGCCCATTTAAATAATACAGGGCTAGAAACATGGTTGGTGATAGAGTGATAAGGAGCATACCTGTTACGGCCTGTTGTGGATCAGTGAACTGCACCAAAGCAGTGTCTTTTTTGTTGAACATAATCTTCACGCGATTGACATCACCATAAACGCCTATGAGAAAGAATACACTAAATCAGACATTTTGTAACAAGTGTCAACAGCCTTTTCTTGATTGGGTTCCTGAAACACCACCTGAGATACCTTGTAAACATATAGTAAAAGGGTCCCGAAAACTAAGAAAACTGTGTTGAAATGGAAATAAGGATGGTGAATCGTCCCGAAGACGATAAACGAGAATGAAATAAACCTACCAAAAAGCGTGAACAAGGCATCCGGGTAGACCTTCTAACTCAGATAAATTGAAGTGAAAGCAATTCGGATCGCCAAAACGAGTAGCCAAATAAACCGAAAGCGTGGATAGTAATGATAAGTAGTAGTAATGCGAACAAGGACGAGAGTAGAAAGTAAGCCACCAGTCGCGTATCGCATAATAGGCGCCGTCCGCCGAGATGATGGTAAAACGCGAAGAAACGGCCAATTGGAAGTCATTGCACAAACAACGTGCAGTGCATGAGGTAGGATGAAAGTGGAGAGAAGAGAAACAGGAAAACGAAAGCAATCAGTTTTTAGTACATTTCGAATAAAGGATGTGGGCGAAAGTAAACGTCAGACAAGCCTGGGCATGTATAGGTACGTCAGAAAACTTACATCTTCGTTGAGATTTGAGACGATTAGCACAGTACTGCTTGGCGTTGATACTTGATTACCACCGGTGAAAGCTTGTGGCAGCGCCGTTGGCAGCATTTGTGGGGTTGGCATTGCGGGAATCCCCGGAGAAGCACCTAAGGGTGTTCCTGCCAACATTGTGGCAGCACCTGGGTGAGCATTGGGCATGCACGAAGCGCTTGTCCCACCTTGAGAAGTCAAAGCCATGAAGCTGGCAGTTGCTGCTGCAGCTGCCGGACTCAGTGCAAGACCAGATTGCTGTGCCAGCATGGTCAACTGTGCAGCTAGTTCCGTGATGCCCGGGACGGCCCCTGCAGTCCCCATTCCCGGTATGTTGGTCATTGGATTGACAACGGCGAGATTTTGGCCTACAATATTCGGCTGAAAGTTAGCAGTAGCTGATAGCTGATTGACAGGAACGTTTGCAGGTGGCGGACTGTTGAGTTCGTCCTCCAAAAGAGGAGATATTGTGTAATCTCGGCATTTGTCGTTCTCCCGACGAACCTCCAAAGGACCACGAGTTCGGGAAAATTCAACCCGAAGGGAACAACATCCAGTGTAAATGTTCTGTCCATTCAAATGCTGCGAAAATAGTATTATGGTCGCCATTAGATCCATAGATAAGGTGGTATCATTAAAAATCATTCGGCTGTAACACCCTTTCGGTGCCTAGTTGTCGTGCCACCCGAAGGAAGCACGATGGCTTGGATACTGCCAGGTTACCCAAGCCCTGACATGGGAAATCGAGAGGTAGAGGTAGAGGTCGAACTTGGACCTTCCGGTCAGTAAATTCGCGCTCTAACCACTGAGCCATCTCGCCCCCGGTAATACCAACACTGCACTAGTTATATGTTTCCAAAAAAACTAACTTCACTCGATGCACCATAGTTTTACCGTTGTTTGGATTCCGGTGACCACATCGTTCTCAGAAGGTTCGCGTGAAAATAGTGTATCAGAACCACCTTACTCGAGTGTTATTGTACACTTTGTTCCACCATCCTGTAGTTAAAGTTTGTTACCTACGTTAACCTCAAGCCTCAGAATTCCTCATATCATTTTCAACTTTTCTTCGGTATATCGATGAAGTTAGCCCCAGATCTACGCGACAGATTAATTAATGTCGTAAAGTTATACCAGGAGCTTCAAGATAGCAACGAGAAACTGTGACAAACAATAACATGAAGTGATACTAAGGGCACATACGGAATATGCGGTCAAGTTCACAACCCACATATGCGGCGTCGCGCTATTCCATGGTCATATACAGTTCACTCCGGCGGTGTACATATTATGAAGGACTATGGAGAATTAATTGCTGAGGTTCAGAAAGCGTTGCAAATACTACAAAGAAATCAGCCCACACATGTGGGAGGGATTACCCAAACAGGAAAAAAGGGTATAGTTGTTCAAATAAAGTCATAAATCAACCCACTCTGGACTCGGTGTTGTTGTTGTTGTCCATACATTTAATTCCTCTTCTACCCAGCTTCAAGGTTTTGTAAACTCAGTCTTGACTACCAAGGTACTTAGATCCCAGTGGAATGTGGTCATTTCAGCTGCGACGTGGCCAGTAGCAACAAAAAAATACATCACGACTTGCTTCTGGTCACTATTTGAGTCGTTTAACGTTGCTTCCGCGTATTCGTCATTTGAAGACCACGTCAGTTGGTGCAAGATGAAGCGAATATCAAGGCTATCAGTGTTCCAGCAGAAAATCCATTCACCGGAGTATTTTGACCCCAGATGCATGAAACAACTGAGAAGAAAAACTGATTCGAGCTAGCCTACTGATACAGAGGCAAGATAGTAGTTCGACGACCGTTAGCTACTGACACTTTTTAAACAAACAGATCAGTTTTGGCTAAAGGTACTAAAAATCTGTCCCTTCCAGATACAAAGCGTCATAGGAACTTTAGAAAGAACAGTCTAACCGACAACTAACCTAGAGTGTATAACCAGATTCCGCCCCGAAGAAACTGGACCCTACCGTGGTGTGACAACTTGTGTGCTGCCGTGGCCCAATAAACTATACTGGGTGGTGTCCGTGAGACACTCCCAGACTCCCATACCAGATTGGTGAGTAGTAAAGCAGTAAACCGACACACTATCCTGGCCCCGCAGGTTGGGGTTAAAACATGGGCAGCGATATGTCCTACAATAATGGTAGTGTGCTTGCATTTCCTGCCAAATACCACTGCCTTGTGGTCAGGCCTAAGAGCCAAAGGCTTGAATGGATGATCCTAATCGTCCCCTCGTCTAGGCCTATGTGTTCTGGCAGTATCCCAACCGACGCATAACAACCCATAGATAAGTATCACAACCATAGGTCATGCACCAAGTTTGCTAATTGTGCTAGTTAGGCGGCAGCAACATACCGATCCAAATGTAAATTTACCTGCAAAGACACCAGCCTCTAAGATCACGCCTAGAACTGGCCGCCCGCAAGAGTATTGAGTAGATTTTACATTCGTAGGTGCATAAAACCGTTGCCAATAAATGCACTGGGGAATCTGCGGAAATCATAGGCATAGGATAGGTTATAACATGATTTTTGACAGGACGGTGCGCTACTTTATCATGTACATGAAATCGGTGCACGTGCGTTAAGTGAGTGGCCAACGCCAAAGGATCTAAATCTCACGAGTCCCGTGCACTTGGTTCAATATAAAAATCGAATTTATTCCCACCCTTCGTTCGACTTAGGTTTGCTTCGGCATGAAAACAATGTCACAGTCATTTTGAAGAGTGAGCGGAATTAAGCCATCAGTCGACGCCATGAACGCTGAAAAAAATCCACAGGTTTTAGTCATTTCGATTTCAAATCTTGGGTATTTTCGGTACTGATGGAGGGCTAATAGAGCAGTTTCTGCGCCCCAAAGTCTTTCATAGACGCACAATCGACTGGCATTTTAATTTGAGGGCATCTTTGCCATCCAAGAAAACCAATGTGACCACAACATGGGGTGAAAATGCAGCTGAAAACGGAACATTATCAATGAGGCTTACCAACATTGCGACGAAAGCCTGTATATGATTCTGGAACTCCAGCATGCATTGATATTGATTGGAACGCAGAAAAATGAGGACACGCAATATCTTTCCGAATCGATGAAAGATCTAGACGAGTGAAAGATGGATGAAGGATAACAAACCTTGTAGAGTATTACGTGGTTGATTTGCTGTCCCATTATGTTATCAATCACTATACGCAATACACTGTTAGGTGCGCCGGCTTGCACACCGCTCAGATCTTGCTGCACAATCCGGTTCGCATTCTTAACTGCATTTTCAATCGCATTATTTTCTGTCGTCAACTCCAGGTGTGTATGTGTGGAGAACTGCAGGATGATGTTTTTTCCATGCAGCATAACCGGATATTTACAATAATATGTTACGAGCTGCATCGCGTCTTCCAAGACTTCCATTTCAATTAGAGCCTGATTGTTCTTTTTTGAAAGGACCATGTTCTTGATGAGCCCAAAGGGAATTGCAAGGAGAGCAATTTCGTTTTCATTGACATCGGAAGGCATGTTTCGAACGTGGATGACGCGAGAAGGGAGAGCGGCAATATGATCCATTCGTGACTACAACGAACTAGTCAATTTTAAAGCTTGAATTACCTTTTTGCTTTCCGCAGACTCGATCTCCATTGGGGCGTGTCGACTTCTGGGTGGTGCTATGCCATCATCTAGATCTCGCTATCAAAAAAGGAGTACATATGTAACACTGATAAAATGACCCAAGATAATGTGTTTCCAAAAAAACTTTCGAATCAGGTAATAAAAAACACAAAGCCATCAATTTCCCCAGATAAGGAAGGGAGAATCACATAATTTAACAAAGTTGCGACTAATGCCCTAGATGACAATGGGATCTAAACTTTGGGTTACAACTGGACTGGATAGTAGAATGTTCAGTTCAGCGCGACTAAGTCGTCTGATGGTATGAACAAATGCAAATGTTTTCAATCCACTGTATACGTTGGCACCATTGTGAGGAAATACAGTTCCACACGGGTTAGACATTGGCCCTTCGTTTTCATAGGGTACATCGAACAAGTTTATGATAGTTTTTTTTATCAATCTTCCTGGATAAAGCAACTACTGCCGGCTGAAGAACTCCAGTAGTAAGAAAGTACCAAGAGTCCCCAAAACTGGGACACAACTCCTAAGCCGTAAAGTGCGCCATGAGCGCCATCGTCAGGGACAGCAACACATCGGCAAAAAACTAGTGCTTAATTGCCAACCGTCCAGTTATGAGCGGAAAGTTTAGTGACAGAGACCACCTATAACCTCCAAGAAACAGACAAGAGGTAAGTGTCCACCTTTTTAAACAACAGTAGAATTGTTACATCTGTGCGCCGTGTTCAAGTAGGATGGCACGAGCAGGATTGGTATTCTTACACAACACAACGGCACTTACCTAACGCACAGTGCTATGTAAGAAGCTACAGTATGTTGTATCGACGAGACAATACTGAGTCGAAGAATACGATAACCGAGCTACTCAGTCTAGATTCAGGTTAGTCCCCCGTTAGCGCTAATCTGCAATTTGATTTCCACTGGAACAGGATGCGTGCGATGTCCAGCGAAAAGCAAGAGAATGACGTGAAAACAAGGGGTGGTCGAACAGCCCTCAGCGCTTTGTTCGGCACTTGGTGTTTTAAGTAAATGTAGCGCACAGTACAGTCGTCCTAACCTGATATCTCTTACAAGCTGCCCAAAGAAGCGGATTCGATACCCAGTACTCGTCTATACATCACACGGCAAACAGGCTGCCGCATACTCCCTGTAAATATATCAAACACCACTCAAATTGTACGACTGATTCTGTCTTCTATGTTGACTTCTGCAGCCTCAAGCTGTTAGACCCGCGCGGTGAACAACAAAAGTAAACGGAATATCGCTTTAGGCCCTCGTAGACGCAGGAAGTACGGGAAGTTCGTGGTTTGTATATATGGCAGAGAGATAACACTAACGACTGTGATTACCGTGGCACCCTTCTCAGTCGTTTTCAACTAGCGGCTGCTGCTACGTATCCATCGATTACAGGGGTACAGTTTACAAAAAAAATCAAACTATTGTTGCCCGATCTATGCGCCGATGTGCTGTTAGACCACACTACCTTGGTCTACATAGAAAAGTTGAAATCACCTTCGGTGGGAACCAAGGTCTATTCACCCTAAGCGGTCTAAACTGCTGTTACGGTCGAATCAGCTCCTCTTTTCGCCAACCTCTCCCTTGACTGCAAGCCTTTCGCTGCGAAATCACGGCGTTAAGAGTTCACTCGCTCCAAAGTTAGCTGACTATTTGATGAAGGTGTAATCGAATCTTCGAGTTCTCCTTGGAGGGCTCAAGCAGTAGTCACGAAGAATTCAAACCAGAAAAGGGGCATGGTAGTGGACTAGTCAAGCCACTTTTTAATCGGCTCACATACCTAGACGCTTATACGTTACCGCAGCTTAGACCTACTTAGTGATTACACTTAAGTTCCGATCAGCGCGAAATACAAACTGTATATGGTTTTTGAAGCACAGGAGAACTGTTTCAAATAAGCCACATCCCTCCTGTGTAACCAACGGATTGGCATACTTCCAACCTACCAATGACCGTATAATCACATCTGAAAACACAAGTGACACCACTTACATTGAGGTTACTATTTGCGGGATTACCCAAAGCGAGCGTGACCGGAACCTCAAATCTTTCTATGAAGTAATAAAGAAATACGGAACTACCCTTGACTGCGATACAAGCATCATAGCAGCGAAACAGATACGCCTGCTGGGCTATGAAATCATTGAAGGAGTTATCAAACTACAGCCCGAACCAATGCGTCCTATTCGTCAAGTCCTCACCTACAAGAAGTTAAATCCCAATAACCAAGTGTTGGCACGTTTTCGCACTACTCGCAACGGATACCATGCTTCTATGCTTTTTCTCTTACCGGAGCGTGTACGACAGTCCTTCGAAAATTTAAAGGTTAGAGAACGCATGGTCGCGAGAGTCGACTACGATGCACTCTTGATTGTCGAGACGGAAGCCTCAGAAACGGCCATTGCTGCATCTCGAATTCAGAACGGCCAAGTGGCGTTCTTTTTTAGAACACTGACACCGAGCGAAGAGAATCACTCTGCTATTGAGGTAGCATAAGCGATCGCTGAGTCTCTCCGTAAATGGAATCTATGTCTCTTCGGAAGGACCGGAAGTTTCACAGTGACGACTGACACTTCGAAGGTGCAACCAATCTAAAACAAGCTACCACATCAAACGACTATGATCGTCCAGCTATAACACCCTCGTGGTGTCCAAATGCCATGTGACCTAAAGGAAGTACGAGAGCCGAGATACTGCTAGGTTGCCCAAGACAGAAACAGTCGAGATGCGGAGATCCACATCAAAACGACTGATAGCTGAGGTGTCGCAAACTGCGTCAACAGAGTAGAGGGAATAAAAACCGTAAGTGTGAATGGAGGAGTTGGACCAGCCGAGTCGGTGCGTGACGGTGTGCGACTATCAAGGAAATGGGGGTGCAAAGTTCAAGCAAACCAATACCTGACCAATCACTTCAAACCCGCCTAACCTTTTTCATACCCTACTTCTAAGTAGGACGCTTGACTGAAAGAATACAAATCCATCGGCAGACGACAGTGCGGTATGCGGAGCGCGTGGCCAAGGAAACAAGAGTGGTGGTGTTGGATGTTTTTGCAACTGCTGCGCAACATCTCTATCGTGCTACGAATATGATGGCGCCATTCAACATCGACAGCGGTTCTGAAACACTGATAACTAGAGATCGGAAGTCAACCCACGCGTTGCAGACGGAGGCAGTCTGCGGGAGACAAAACACACCACACACTATAAGCATGGTAGACGTCACTTTTGAAACCGTATGATAAGCTCTTTGATACGGCACATGGCGGAAACTGACCAACATGATTCGGATATCTCCAATCGGCCAGAAAGGCTCAGCTTTATCGCGGTGTGACGGTTTTTTTAGCATCTATAACCCAACGAACCAGATATCCAGGCAATGCCTGACTACCAGTTTCCTGATCCACCAGGTTGGGAGTTGGAACATTTGTGGCGACTTGTTCTTTGGAAATATAGGCGGCACAGATGGGCTTACACCAACCATCGGTCAGGCTTTTAAACCAAAGCCTTTGGTGAAGGGCTCTAATCGTCCTCTTGTTCAGGTTCGAGCGCCCTAGCAGTATCCCAATCCACATAACACTAGAAAAAGATAATCGCTCGGTCGTAACATCTTTTCGGTGCCTGGCTGTCATGCCACCCAATGGAAACACGAAGGCTGAGATAATACCAGGTTACCCAAGCTTAGATAGAAACAGTCGAGATGCAGAGGTTCCAGCCCAACCGACGTAAAACCATGAGTTTCACACCGGCCATCGCGTCCTTTCATCAGCAGGGTCGCATTACTTGCTGCATAGAGCAGGGCGGGAAGCGAAAACAGGCTACTGATGACGTCTTCCTTCTTACTTTTCCGCTTTTCTCACCCCAGTTCTAGGGACAACTCCGTAGGCCCACTATTGAGAACTGACAGATCCATTCGCCGTCCATTGGCATTAGCTGTAATATATACGGTCGACTAGGCCACCACGGACACATATTTCAAAATAACTCATTGCCGCGACGCCCAGTCTATCTGGTAGCCCTTAACATCCGCGCTGTGAAAGAAGCTGAACAAGATCGTTCTTGCATTTACCCCAGACTCGCCTTTTATCGACGCGTCCTGCCTCTCTGAGACGAGGATTCAAGACGCAAATACGGTTGCTGAGTTGACCTCCCCACCAGATTCCACTAGCTTTTTGCTACGTACCTCTGGTGATCCAGAAGCCGGTGCAGTCGGTTCTGGTAGGGCTATTGTCGTCCTAAGCCACCAAGCTGAAGGGTCTACGCTTGAGTATTTGCCCATTGATAGTCATCTGTGTGGGTCATTTGGCAACGTCTCTGAGAGTATCCCACAAACAAGCCGATAAGCGTTGTCTGTTCGTCGTATCTGTTCACACCCGAATAGACTGTAGCTCCCAAAGACAGATTATGCAAAGTTTTGAGCGCCTTTTAGAGGTGGGTTTAGAGCTCAGATACTGTTGTGATTGCCAAGGATACGAATGCGTAAGTAGGTAAACTTAGCGCAGCTAGGACTCAATTGGGTGGTCGTCTAGGATTGGAATCGAGACGCCCCGAGAACGCCTGCTGCAGCTATGCGCTAATCAACTACTGATGCCGTGCACTAGTAACTTGAGAAGTAACCGAAGTGCTGGGCCACATAATGACCCACATGATGACCCCAACGTTCAGCACAAACAGACCACATCGCCATTAGCTATAGGTGATGTGGGTTAATTATTGATTGTCACTCATCCTGGAAAGTGTGTTCAAGGGAGCATACGAATGGGCTGTTCCAGCCGTAGAGCAAAGGCCTGACGCCTGCTGTAGCAGGACTAATGGCACTCCTGATATTGTGTTGCCCAGCTTCGGCAGTTGACACTAAGTCGAGGTCCTCAAGCAGGATTTCTACCTGGCAGGGAGTGCATCGATCATATTACGTCAAATAACTAGGAAGCACCACACGTCCTGCCGGCCAGTAATCGCAGTTTCTCCAGATTTCATCGGGGGGGGGGGCATGGTTGTACGGCAGCGAAGCATCAGCGTTGAATACTGATGTCATGCTGTCGATGATGAC